AGCTATTCACGTGCCTGAACCTTGATTGCTTCTGCTGGGTTTCAACTCTAGCCTACCCCAACTTGTTTGGGACTTAAAGGCTTTGTTGTTGTTGTATTTATCAATATAATTCAATATGAATAACTTTATCTTGCGACCGGTATGTTGTAAAACCATATGAACATCATATCACTGTTTATCATATTCAGAGCACCAGGATACACCAAGGCTGTATGCACAAGTCCAACTGAAAGGTCAGGATGCAAAATGAAGATCATATTTATCAATATGAATCACTTCTGAATGATATCCTATGACCAGGATGTTATGAAACTGTATGAACATCACATCACTGTTTATCAGATTCAGAGCACCAGGATACACAAAGGCTGTATGCGCAGGTCCAACTAGAAAGGTCAGGATGAAAAATGAAAGATCATATTTATCAATATTCAATATGAATCACTTCTGGATGATCTCCTGTGATCGGAATGCTATTGTGCTACATACAGTCAACAAATTACTATTCCCTCTGTTCCAAAATGTGTGTTTTAGTTCTGTCTTAAGCCAAACTTCTATAACTCTGACCAAGTTTTCAGAAATATATATTAACACCTACAATATCAGATAAATTTACCATCAAGGCATTTAAAGTTGGATCTCATGAAATTATTTGATGTTGTAGGTGTCAGCATATGTTTCTACAAAAACTCGTTCAGAGTTAGAGAACTTTCACTTAGAACAGAAGTAAAATGACCGATTTTTGGATCAGAGGGAGTACCAAACTATGCATGAACTCAAGAAGTACAACATTTGTCTTCTAAAACATTTCACTGATGGATCAAAACATGCCTTTTTTCACATACAACCGGCAGGTGAATAATTTCATATTTAGAGATAGGAAAACAGCGACAATCTAGCAGAACTACACTACACTCAACATTACATTTCACAATGTCATGGGTTCTCCAGCATAATGCAATAAGCAGTATTATTGTGTCGATACCAGCTAGCAGCTAATGTTACATTGCAAGGCAGACCAAAAAATTCGTGATCCGATGAGATCAGACCGTTGACATATATAGTACTAGCATATGGCTGTCAACAATATATAGGAATGTTGAGAAGAACATGACTCTTCCCAAATAATTAACGAAAACGAAGAAATGACATCCACGCGACGAATTGATTTTGACTTTGATCACGGCAGAGCAGGGAGAGTACCGCAGTCTGATTCAGAGGGCGGGGACGTATCTCTTCCCAACCTGCTTGGCAGCCGCGGCGGCGCCAGCAAGAACCCCACCGACGGCCCCGGCGACGACCGCCGAGCGCGGCCCGTTGGCGGCGCGGAAGAGCGCGCCGGTGCCGAGCCCGGCCGTGACGCTGTTGATCCAGTCGTCGCGGTCGCGGGCGGCGACCATGGCGCTCTCGATCCCGGCGTACATGAGGCCGATGACCCCGAGCGTGTTGCCGACGCGGCGCCCCGAGCTGCCGCAGGAGTTGAGGACGCGGTTGGCCCGGATCTTGGCGGGCTCCCCGGGCTCGGCGCCCCGGGCGGCGTCGCGGAGCCCCATCGCGGCCCCGGCCACGGCGCCGCCGAGGTAGCCGACGCCCGTGTAGTAGGTGAGGTTCTCGCCCCAGGACCGGCGCTGCGCGACGGCCTCCTCCTGGAAGAGGAACTCCGGGGAGGTGGGAAGGTCGTAGAGCTGCCGGTAGGGGAGGTTGAGGTCCTGGTACGGGTTGTAGAGGCGGCGCTCGGAGCCGGGGTAGGCGGCGTCGCGGCGGTCGTCGGACCCGGACCCCGTGGGGTACAGCCGCGGGTCGGCCATCGCGGGATCCGGCGGCGGCGACAGCGGCGTTGGAGGCAAGAATCGAATGGGAGGAGGGAGGGTTTGGGTCGCGCACGGCAGGGCAGCTTGGCCGCGCCGCCTATATTCGCTGCGGGTTATATTTGCGAAGAAGTCCCCCGTCGCGTCTGATATTTTTTTGGCGCCGCCGACCAACAACTTGGACGAAGGGTCGAGACTATGGGCCAGCTTTTCGAAGTTTGTAGGCCTGCGTTTCAATAGTTGGGCCCAAATGTACGAGGACAAGGATGCCGCCAGTCTAACTTACAAAAAAAGTCGCTCCGTAAAAAGAATTAAAAATCTCTTCACAAAAAGTCAAACATTCTTAATTTTAACTAAGTTTATCCTCATTCAATTCCAAATTACAAGTGTTTTGGATTTTTTTTTGATTCATAGCCTTTTCTATGCACTATATGCACTATGTCTAGATATATCAAACCCAATGTATTTAAAAAAAGGTTAACCGTCTTATAGATTGAAATGGGGTAGTAGAAAATATCATATTTATATCTTCAAATAGGTTTGTTATGAAAACAGCATCAATAAAAGTGTTTTTGGCTTTTCTGGATTCATAGCTTTTGTTGTGCACGATATACACTATGTCTAAACATACAACAAAAACAATCTATCTAAAAAGAATCAAAACGTCTTATACTTTGGGGGGATGGTGAGTAGAAAATTGTATAGATATCTATATCTTCAAATAGATTTATTATATTCAAATATATTCATAGCTAATCCAGTGATCTTTATTACATAATATCGTAAATATTAGTATTATATATATATATTTGGTCAAATTTAATGTATGGTAGAAAAAAATAGAAAATTCCCTCTATAGAACTATGAAAACTTCCTCTTCCTCGTATGGCACTTGAAAAAATCCTTCTCTATCTAGCATAATAAGTTTTTATTCCGTAACTACTGAGCATGCATGCGGCGGTCCTACCTTCGGACTTTACATCGCACGGCACCAGGTAGATACTGTAGTGTACCTCTCCGGCCTTTCGCGGCCGCCGCCTCCTTCGCGCCCTCGTTGGAGTCAGCGGGGCGAATGCAGGTTCCACCACGATCGCGACAGCAGCCGCGTCGTCTTCTTCTGCTCCCTTGGCGCGGCGCCGCCGCCTCTAGCGTAGGAGGAGAGCATTGCATTTCAGGGTGGCCACCACGATCAACAGCAGACCGACACCTCCCGTGCCAGATACAAGGCCGATAACGAGCACGCTGAATCTCTTGTTGGTGGGGCTGGCACTGCACATGTGCCCCAGGGCACCCACGTCCATGTAGGGAGGAGAGCGGTTGCAAGCGGTCAGGGTGGCCACCACGATTGAATACAAACGAAAACGAAAGCAGAAAGCCGACCGACCGTGCCAGAAATACAAACGAACTAATTCGATAAATTATAGAACACGCTATCTCTCTTCAATACGTATTGACCCGGGGACTGGCAATAATTAACAAGTACATAATAATTAACAAGTCCTACAACTTTTCTTAAAAATATCCCAACACGGGATTTTTTTAAAGGCAACACGTCCATGTTCCTGATTAATATATCGCTGACTTTGTTTAATTTTTTTGAACATTTTCAAGACATCAAATGAAAAAACTAAGAACTAGAAAGTGTAGATCTCGCTGAGAGCTACAATTTTCATACATCTTCTCCGTTGAAAAAGATATAATTTTTCTAGCACTTGTAGTGGGTCAAATTTGGTTTAAACTGAAAATTTCGAATTCGGTAGAAAAGTAGAAATCGGTAACAAAGCCTCACATTTATCCGTTTCGAATTCAAATTTCAATTCGAGGTATTATTATTTTGTCCGAAAAACGAATAGCATCAATAAAAAAACGATGCGGTTTTATTTCATTTATGTATAGCAGCAACTCTATAGCTCTGTTGTTCTAGCACTAGCTCTCTTATAGATTGAAAATGGGGGGAGTACAAAATATCATATTTATGTCTTCAAATAGGTTTATTATGAAAATAGCATCAATAAAAAGTGTTTCTGGCTTTTCTATATTCATAGCTTTTGTTATGCGTGATATACGCTATGTCTAAATTTATAGCAAAAACAATTTATCCAAAAAAATCAAAACGTCTTATAGTTTAGGATGGGAGAGTAAAAAATAGAATCGATATTTGTATCTTCATATAGGTTTATTATTTTAAAATATATTTCATTTTAATCTAGTGATACTTATTATTACATAATACCGTAAATATTAGTGATTTCTATATTATTTGATCAAATTTAAAAATATTTGACTCGTCGAGAAACAAGAATTCTATTTTTTTTTTTTTGCGGCAGTTGTAGGCACGTAACGTCGCCGTATCCATCCGTATACATCTAATAATACATCACACATGGGACCATTGAACACATAAACTGCTATATAGAACAGCATCGTGAATCCATGACACGGGCAAGACTTGTCCCTGCTGGGTGAGGTTGTCCTCGCTGAATTGTTTTCTTCCCAGCCTGACACGGACAAGCCGGCCGCCTGGAGCGGGAGTCTGCACGAACCGGCCTTGACGTGCTGCCAGGCAGGCGGCAGCGGCTGGTCTACAGTTGACAGCGCGAGATCGTACCGAGCAACTGTTGAGCCTGCACGAGCTCCACCGGCAGGCACCAGGCAGCAGCACACGACACGACACGAGCAGCCGCCCTCTCTCTCAGAGCCTCTGCTTCTGTTCACGTGGTCGCCCCTACAGTCCCACGTGCCGCCCCGGACTGGACTCCACTCCACTTCCAGTCTTCCACTGCCCACCAGGCACCAGCCCACGCTCGTCTGGAACCAAAGCCGGCACGGCAGCAGCACTGCGGCGGTAGGCACCGGAGATTCCGGCCGGACACATGGCCCGAGCCGCGACAACCGGGCACGGGGCATGGAACCAAAATCCAAATCCAAGTCCACCCGTTGCACTTGCGCGAGACCTCAGTCCAAAGCCTGCCCTGCTCTGCCTCCTCTGCTCTCATAAATAAACAACCACAAGTCCGAAACCACAAGCAAGCAGGTTTCGCAGAGTTGCACGTTGCAGCAGTACAACAAGAGAGAGGAGAGCCGGAGAGGGACACAAAGGGAAAGCAGCAGCCAGAGCCCAGAGGACAGCGGCGCTCGGCAAGCAAAGCAGCTGCTTACCCCACGAGGCACGAGCACGAGCGCGAGCAGAGGATGAGGATGCGTGCGCGGGCGGCATCGGCATCGGCGGCGGTGCTCCTCCTGCTCCTGGCGGGCGGCTGCGCCGGCGCCGTGTACAAGGTGGGCGACCTGGACGCCTGGGGTGTGCCGCCGCCGTCCAAGCCCGACGTCTACAAGCGCTGGGCCAAGTCCATCCACTTCGCGCTCGGCGACTCCATCTGTAAGCCACCCCATCCACCTCACCGGGCTCACACTCCCCTCCTTCACTGACCACTACCCCCGGCGAACGCAGGGTTCTTGTACCCGCCGAGCCAGGACTCGGTGCTGCAGCTGGCGCCGGAGGCCTTCGCGTCCTGCGACCTGTCGCGCCCCGTGGCCAGGCTCGCCGACGGCAACTCGTTCTTCAACTCTCACCACGCCGGGCCGCGCCTACTACGCCAGCGGCGCGCCGGGCCACTGCCGCAAGGGCCAGAAGCTCTGGGTCGACGTGCCATTGGCCAACGGCACCTACCTCCAGCCCTCCGCCACCGACCTCGCCGCGCTCGCGCCCACCCCCGCCGCCGACCCGCCCGCCGGGTTCGCGTCCGCGCCGGAGGGCGCCAGCGCCTCGCCCGCGCCCCGCGCCGCCGCCGCTGGATCCGTCGTCGCCCTCTGCTTCGCCCTCCAAATCCTCCTCCTCTGATGACATTTGATGTGTAGCTTGCTGATTAGCTACCGCTCGCTGTAATTTTGAGATCTCCATTTTTGCGGAATGAGTAAGTCCAGTTCTTTCTTGGGTTGAATTGAATTTTTCGCCGAATGAGAAGTGAGTCCAGTTATTTCTTGGGTTGAATTAAATGGTGGTCCTCATTTGGATGGGTGATCATTGATCGGAGAGAGCATGGGTCGTATCTACATCTCGTTCCATTAATTCCACTGTAGAGTAGAATCAAGTGATGATGACACGGATCATTTTTGCATCGATCACGCTTCTCGATCTCCTTGCGTTCATAGCATCGCCGACAAGTAATTGAATCGTCTCGCTCCATGATCAGATCAGCTTAGGGTTAGCGGATGCATCGACCAGTAGCTAGGCTAGGCTGTAAGCTGGTGGGGCAGGTCAACCCACATGCGATGGCGGTGGTGGTAGACGAGAGACTAGTGATGAACACAACAGGATCGTATCGGTGTACTCATAATTCATCGCACAAAAGGACGGGCTGGCTGGGTGTTGACACCTACTGTATCGCGATCGATCCGCAACAGCAGCGTAGTACCCTGGTGTCCGTGTCAGATCAGGCATCCATCTGCCTGGACGAAACGGGAACTGTTTCAGGAAACATTGGATCAGCGATTTTGGGCATTCACTCAGCCACCAACCGATGGAGCAACAGGGTACGGCACGACCGTGTTGAGGTGTTGGAAAAAGGCGAGGGCAAAGCACGGATCGCACTATCTCAGAATGCCCGGTGAATCATCAGTATACATCCCAAAATAATCAATTCATAAAATCACCCTAAGTCGTTTGACCAACTATGTGTAAATATGTGTAACAAAGATGGAGACATGGAAATCAAAGCTATCAGGATAGGAAACAATGAAAAGGAAATGACGAAACACACTCAGAACGATGAAGACGGCTTGCATAGCTATATTTTCGAGTTTGTTTGTAACACCAAAATTATAGGGCATCTGAAAATGAAGGATGCACAAATATGACAGCAAAAGTAACACTTCCCTGTGCCTGAAGATGGGTGAACTGCTTTCCTGTTACAGGTGGGAATTTATCAATAAGAGTAGTGTAGGATTTACAGTTGTAAAGTGTGGTCCACATCTGTGGCATGTATGGAAAATTTATTGACCATGAATCGGACAATTGATGGATGATTATAGCGCTATGTGTACATAGGATTTTGGATCTAGGGATGCTGCCAAAAAGTATAAGAATGCATCAGTGTAATCGGAGATCCGTAGAAGGCAGTGGACGTTGGCATGTTTCGCAGGGAAAAATGTGACAGTTGTTGGATAGAGATCTGGAAGTCAGGAATGTAAGCAAGCAGTTCGATGTAGGTAAATATGCTTGCACTAACCATCATCGTGGAGGATGACATCTGCCCTGCGTCTGCGAATCGTTGTAGAAGTAACAGATGCCTCAGGTGGTGTGGACGCTGCCAAAAAGTATAAGAATGCATTAGTGTAATCGGACAGCTGTATAAGGCAGTGGACGACATCTTTTGCAGGGAAAAATTGCATGTTTGGCAAAAGGAATGCAAATACCTTGAGGAGAGGTTGCATTGACGAAAGCTGGAACATCGTGGCGAAGCAGCATATATTGACATCTCAGTGCTTCACGATGCGGTATTTCTGATTGTGATATTCTTTGTCCATGGGCGGAGAAATGGCCCGTTGCCCGCGTCGTCATCGTTGGCTACCAAAGCTGCGCCAGGTATGTTGAAGTAGTAAGGCAAAAGTACCGAACTAAGATACAGTACAGATGGCATACGTGACAACAAACCTGGTGTAAATAAGATTAAAAGCAGTACCATAACACAATAGGACACAGGCAGACAAATGCAACTTGCAGCTGACAGGAGACAATTGGTATGCACATCTGAATACATATGTGCTGAATCGTCATATGCATATCATTTGGAGAAGCTGAGGAAATAAAAAGAAGGTCGCACCTGTACAAAAACATAGACCTAAACCTAAACCTAGACCTAAACCTAAGAAGATTTGGAGAAGCTTAGGAAATAAAAAAGAGGAAAAAAGAAGGTCGCACCTGTACAAAAACGTAGACCTAGACCTAAACCTAGACCTAAACCTAAGCAGATTTGATCCCTGAAAACTTTGATTAAGCAACAATAATGTTTTTAGCACTGTCAAGGACTAGTGGTAAGGGCAAGGAAATATTAGTACTGCATATGTATTTACCGAAAGGTTTAGGAGCTGGTTCTATGTTCTTGAAAAAGTTAAAAGGAGCTAACAAACAGAGTCTTGTATTGTTAAATGGTGCGGAAGATACTACGAAGCAATCCTAGTTGGAAAAATTATTACCTGCTAGTTGCAGGCTTGGATTATGCAGCAGAAACAGTTATCTAAAAAGAGCAAGCAATGTGCAATGTGCAATGTACAATGAGCATCCTAACCATGTCCTATTTTGTAGAATGGGAATGGTATAAGCGATCCTTTTGTAAAAGTAAATCAAAAGATTGTATATGATGGCAATGAAAATGTGTAATGATGTTTACTCTTTCTTTCAACTCAAAGTGATGTGTGTGTTTTTACACATGTTCGCTAATTTTTAAGACAGCGAAGTGAAAGCACGAAAAGAGTATAGGAATGGCCAATAAACAAATATATGTGCACGAAAATGTGGACCCCAGTGAAAATAGATATTAACGATTTTATTGTTTCTTTAATCTTGCGTTTGTGGCAGCCTTTTTAATTTTTTGTTGCCACCGAAAGTCATTCATTCAGGTCTAGGTGGCGTAATAATTCTGTAAAGCATGAAAAATCTTTCATGTTGCAGAGTTTAATAAACATTTGTTCATTGTAATTAATCTTAGACCATGTATAAAACATTTGCCATTGAATTAATCTAAGTTTAACTAAATAGCAGAGGAGGACAGGGCAGTTATTCAGTTACTTTGGATCTGCATGGAGTTCTTCACTACATTTTGCTGAAATCAATACAAAATTACAGATGATTACTTATGGCATTATATACCTTCAGGAAAATGAGAGGAAGGCAAGAAAGTGTTGCAGTATATATCGTACCTCACAGTAGTCCATCTCTGTAAACTGTTGATCTTGTCGGTGACAAATGAAGATGTGATTAACCAAAAATAATAGCTTATAACCAAATGAGCTGCTGAACCTGGCACCCAAAGAGGTAGATTTCTGAATTATTTATGCGAAGCAACTATTTTGTTTAAAGGAATCAAGGGACAATAATAGGTAAACATTTGATCATTGTAACTAATCTTAGACCATGCGTCAAGCATTTGCCATTGAATTAATCTAAGTTTAACTAAATAGCAGAGGAGGAAGGACAAACTAAATTGCAGAGGAGGAAGGACAGATCAGGGCAGTTATGCAGTTACCCTAGATCTGCATGGAGTACTTCACGACATTTTACTGAAATCAATATAAAGTTACAGATAATTGCCTTTGTGGGCTTGTCATATACCTTTTTCATGAAAATGAGAATCTTTCAAAGTAAAGAAACGAACGGGGTGAGAGGAAGACAAGAAAGTGTTGGAGTATATATCCTACCTCACAGTAGTCCATCGTTGCAAACTGTTGATCTTGGCAGTGACAAATGAAGATGTGATTAACCAAAAATATTAGTTACAACCAAATGAGCTGCTGGATCTGGGAGAGCTGCTTCGCGACGGGAGCTCCTGTAGAGGCTGAACGGGGACGCCGTTGGCCGAGCTCGCGTGGAAGGGAGAGGGCAGGAGCTGCGGAGCAGCGGGCTTTAGCTGGGCGCGCGATGGCAAAGCGGCGCGAGCTGGACGGGCGGAGATTGACCGGCGCTGCTCCAGGGAAACGTGGCGACGGCCTGAGGCGGGTGAGGCTGGCGCATCTGCGGGGCGGCGGCGCTGGTCCAGGGCCGCGAGGCAGCGCGAGAGGCGGTAGCGTCGCCGCGGTGGTGCTGGTCGGAGGGCGCGAGGCGGCGCGGGGCGCTGTGGCCGGAGGGGCAGGCGTCAGGCGGCGCGGGGCGCGGTGGCCGGAGGAGCAGGCGTCGGGCGGCCGAAGCAATGGTGGAGGCCACGGTGGCGTCGCCGTTGTGTTTTTTGTTTTAACCGGACGGAGACGAGACTCTGGCATTTCATCCATTGTGAAATGATCAAATCATGTTGTGAGAACCTACTACTCAACCTAATATTCAATCCTATTGTTTGAGCGATCAGCTTCATCATTAGTCAGCCTTGCTCAATGCTAATGTTGAGCAGATGAAGGAGCGAGCATCCTTATTAATTAAATAGAGCCCGATAGAGGCGAGGATGTTTGATAACGAGGAGGAGATGTTGGATGATGAGATGAATGTACAATTTACGTTCACCTCCTCATGAACACTAACAATATGACCTATGGATTACTAACCATACCTCCAGTGTGTTTCAATCTTGATACATGCTAGGGTTGATCCTCTTGAGGCGAGAGATGTTGATACATGATCCGATTTCGCACTTTTAACATTCTGCGGTTTCACTCGCTTGTGATTATAAAACTGGTGTAAGCTGCTAAAATATATTTTAGATAGTTTTAATTCGTGAAAAAAAGAAGAAGACACGTACTTCCATTTTTTACCCCTGCCCGTTTTCTCCTTATACGATAGTCACCGTTCTCGTTCGTTCGTGGTCAAAACAGATCGACGCACCAGGTGACACCGTGCGGCACCTCCTCGGCGATGGCATCTTCGGCGCCGCCGACAAGGTGTGGAGGAGGCAGCGCAAGGCGGCCAGCCTCAAGTTCCACTCGGCCGAGTTCCGAGCAACACGACCAGCTCGCTCGTCGAGCCACTGGCTGCTCCCGTGCTGGGTGACGCGGATGCGTGACGAAGACGGGCGCCCGTACACGGACAAGTTCCTCCGCGACATCTGCGTCAACTTCATCCCGGCCAGCCACGACACCTCGTCCGTGGCGCTCGCATGGATCTTCTCGCTGCTCGGCAAGAACTCCGTCGCGCGAGAGCGAAGCCGTTGTCCAGGAAGCTCTCCCTCGCCTTGTGCTCTAGCCCATTCCGGGCGGCGACCTGCGCTCGAGTGCTCCCCCTCTCTGCTCCGTGGCCGTCGCGCTCGGCTCGCCTTCTGGCGGGGGAAGCCGCGTAGCCATCGCAGTGACGGGCAGGCTGCCTCTCGGTGAGGCGCACGGCTGCGGTGGCGGGCAAGGGAATGCGGCTGCGCTAGCTGTGAGTGACGCGGCTGCGGCAGCTTGCGCGCCGGCAGTGTGCAGCACCACCGCGATGAGTGGCCGGAGAGGGAGCTGGAGAAGATGAACAGTACGCTGTAATGAGCCGGAGAGGGAGCTGGGCCGTTGCAGCTCGGCGGCGGCGCGCGCGCGGGCCCAAGGCGCTAGCATCACACCTGCAAATTGTATGGATGGGCATTCAAGTTTCGCCCAACCAACTCATGAGCAAACTAATAAAAATCTTATTGACCTACGAGAATACCATGGTTACACATTTGCAGCTTGTTGAACCTTATTTCGCCGGCATTGAATGAAATACCTCCGCGTCCTCGTGGTACTCCGGCGAGGACATCTAGGTTTAGAATGAGTCAAACTTTCTTAAATCTAACCAAAATTGTAAAGGAAAAACACTATCAACCTTTATATCTTTAAACATGTTTCCTCTAAAAATATATATTTATAACTAATTCAATTATATTTATTTGGTATTATAAATGCTAGTAATCTTTCATATAGATTTAGTCAAACTTAAAATTATTTCACTTATTGGGCGGTGAGAATTGCATTTTTTTTCTTGGGATGGACATTATAAAATTATTTTTATGATGTATCTAATTCTAATCTAATAACACTAATTTGGTGTCATTCTCAAAAAAATACTAATTGGTGTCATGAATATTGATTTTATATATATAAATTTGGTTAGACTTAAAGTTAAACTAACTTAGAACATTCTAGAAGTTGATTTAATTTTGGATGGAAGGAGTATAGGCAAATTCAGTCCTAGAGTTTATTGCAATTTCAGCCGGTTACAGTTGCTGAATTACAATTCCTGTTTGAAAATCTGCATAAAAGAGGATCAAGATTCTCGGTACCACCAACTTATATTTAAGTGGGGAAACAAAAAAGGAAATCTCAACAGAGTTGGAGAGACAAAACCACAATGGTCACCGATTAGTTAACAATATTCATTTTTCGTTACTTAGCAATGTTGTCGAACAATGTACAAAATCCCTTTGAACCTGCTGCTCCCGCAGAGGCATCTATCATGTTAGCGGATTAGTCTGCACAGGGCCCGCTTGTAAGCTCGTTTGTAATCGCTGGACGCGGTTGACGCGATCCGATGGACGCGGTCACCACGCGATCCGCAACGCTGAGTCCGTTGAGCCAAGGCTCACCTGTACGTGTGCGGTTGATCATTCTTCCACTTTCATATCAACCAGAATGGAAAAAAAGGCAGACGCGCTCTCTCCTGTCCGGCACCACCTCATCACCGTGGCAAGGCGATGTTCCAATCGTACACCTTCACATCGAAGGTGGTAGACTCTTCAAGTGCCCGTCTAAGTTCTTTGGCGCAGATCGCGTTCTTGGCAAGCAGCAACGCAAAGCCACCGCCACCGGTTCCAACTAGCTTGTAGCCGCAGCAGTAAGGGTCGGCGAAAGCAAACAGCTCGTCCACAAGCCTGTTGCTGCAGAAAGGGTCTAGCTCCTGATGCAGCCTCCAGGCCTCCAGCAACATGCCGCCGAGCTCGTCCAATTCACCATTCATCAGGGCTTCTCTCCCGATTTTGCTAATTCGGCAAGCCTCTTGATGCTGGATATCAAGATGTTGTCGCGACGGAGGTACCGACTCACAACTTTCTGCAGGACTTGGTGGGCGAGCCTTACCTGTACAGATTCATTTGGGGAGGAACAACAATGTGGAAAACGTTAAACAAAGCATGTGTTTGGTTGCCGAACAGATGTTGCATCGTATATCCTGTTGAGGAGATGTAGGCTGTGTGGAACCGTATTTTATAAAAGAAGGTGTTTGGTGATGCTGCATGAGTGGATGCAAAAAAAAAAACTAAGATGTTGTTTGGTTACTCGTTTGAGCGGATGCAGTCTACTTAATCTAGGACTATGACACATGGGCCGATTCCTCCCATGCTGTATCAGCTCAGCCAGGCCAGGGGATACGAGGAGTCAGACTGTCAGAGGAACCAAACACGCCCAAAATTGTTAGCTGTACTGATCTAGTATAACTGGACCAAGGTGTTGTTTTCGCTTTCAACATTTGGGCCTTTAACGTCACCGGATGTTGTTACATGACAACTACGAATGCCTAATACCTAGAACCTCGTTATGCTAGATACAAATTTGAGAAAGATGGATAGTGTGTGTAGCTCATTCCTTCTAAATATAGTGGGTGCAAGGTCACAAGCAACGGAGTCAGAAAAGGAATTTTATGTTTCAAGCAGAAAGGATGAACTTACTTGGCCGGTGAATACAACCAGGAGACGTTCTTCTAATTTTATGTTTCAAGCAGAAAGATCTCCAGAAGCTCTAAGCAGATCCATCTTGACCTGATATTCTCTGCTCTGAGGAAGAACCCCAGGATACTGATCTCTGTGACTTGGAAAAAATGGAAGTAATTCTTCTGACTGCTAAACGTGTATCTTTTGTAACATCCCAGGATATAGGCCACTCCGCCACCTGTCCAGCTGCAAGATCTTATGATGCTCGACTCGGTCCGCCACTAGCAAGCTGATCCTCTGTGATTTTCTCTAGCAACATTATCATCCTAGGACCTCGCTTTCGTCCATGGGTGCAAGGTTCATTACTTGAAATAGTCCCTTAACAACAGCAGCTGCTAATATGCTAGGACTCCGCCACCTGTCCCCATTATTTGTTTGCAGTCCACTTGAAATAGTCCCTTAACAACGCAGCTGCTAACATTCCACTTTCCACGAGGAACATTAGCCCATGTCCTAATGTTCAGGCCTGATTTTGACAATATCTTGTGACCAAGGAGACTTGACAAGACGGAATGGATCACTTTCTTTGAATGGAGAAGAAATAGATGCCAGGTTATCAATATAAACATTTCTACCAGCATCATCTTCGATTCTTACTCCAAGGTGGTCTTCTGTTGTCTCTATCATAGCGCCAACTGGAAGGCTTCCTTGCAAGCTTATTGCCATATTCAAAACACAACCTGGACGCTCCAACCTCCACGGAGGAGTATCACTCCAACCCCCAACAAAGTCCACACGGACTGGTAATTCTACAACAGCCTTCCTGGGATGCAGGTTTCCATGGTTTGAAGACATGTTGCCGCTTGATGGCTCTAAAAGAATGAAATATGTTATTAACTATATAATAGCAATATCGATGGCTCAAATGGTAAAAATGACCACAATTAGCTCATGGCGCCATGGAATTTTGAGGAAAGTCACTACAAGCACAGCAGTTAGTGCAGTTAGTTTTGAAAATCAAGGCCTTTAGTTACTGCAAATGACTAAATGTTGTGTAGTGACTAGTACACACCTTTCGACCCATATTTTATCGCCGACGCAGTTTCGCTTGCTATGGAAGCCCACACTTTCTCTTCCACCACACATGCAGTGGAAAGATCTCCAGAAGCTCTAAGCAGATCCATCTTGACCTGATATTCTCTGCTCTGAGGAAGAACCCCAGGATACTGATCTCTGTGACTTGGAAAAAATGGAAGTAATTCTTCATAGACTGCTAAACGTGTATCCTTTTGTAACATTTCCTCACAAAGTTGAAACAGATTACGCCGGAGTAACCCATAGTTCATACAAGCCTTGGCTATGTCAGCTGCAAGATCTGCCTGATGCTTGCTCGACTCGGTGCAAAGTTGTCTGTAATCAATAGCATGATGCAGCTCTTCCAAGCTGATCCTCTGTGATTTTCTCCACAAGGAAGCTATTTTCCCATCTGCGTCACATGCTGATCCCATAAGCCACATGCCCACATTAAGCATTTCTGGGAGAGACATGACAGGAAAAAGCTTTGCAGTCCATAAGCATTTGTCCTGGCTAGTTGAATCCCACAAATCCGAATCCTGGATTCTAAGATCTTCCAATACATTTATCCATGGCTCGCCACAGAACGTCCCATCCCTCTTAATAGAAACTTTTGGATTATCGTGAAGACCACAGTAAAGCAAAACTCTTCCCGCAGAGTTTACCAAAGGTACTTCCCAGAGGCAATGTCGATCAGGCAATGTGAAACAAGTGCTACCATTGAGTATCGGAGGATTGTACCCATGAAACTCACTTATATTCACTGCAACAACAATACATTGCGAGCCAATCCTTATTCTACCACGAAGTACTGAATCATAAACCAATGAATCCTCTCCTATTGAGACCCCAGAAGAAATCTTGGTAGACAAAATAATAGCTGTCGCTGCAATATCACAAGCAGTGGTCTCTGGTAGTGAGCACATATGCCTTCGACCTACAAGTCCTGAATAGGAACCCGCCAGGTGATCAAGAACCTCCACAGATGTGCCAAAATGTAAAAATGAGAAGTCATCAGAAAAGGAAAATCGTCCAAGTTTAGCATTTCAACTGGGCAACTGACAGGAAAGATGATAGGAATAATATCTCTTACACCTGATCAGGAAGAGAACAGTTGAAATTTCAACAGATACATGAGAACTTAAAGCCATAGCCTCTAGATAGAAAACCAAGATAATGCACTAGCTCAAAGTAATGATAACTGAATGATCAGTAGGAACATACATGAACAAAAGCTGAAAATCCTTTGTTTTCCTAAAGCAGAAATCAGTTCCTTCCCCAATGGACGTTTTCGCAACCATTCATGCTTGGCTGGTACCCATGCCGCCACAAGATCCTCATATAAGCTGAGCTGCAGTATATTGGCAAGCACGATCACACAAATCGAGAGGTCAAAAGGTGCATCCGCAATCAGAGAAATATGCCTAACAGGAAGCAATGAAGCCTAAGGAGTAGAGTTTAGAACACACTTATGCATTTCAAGTCTAAATTAAATTTGTTAGTATGTTACTAGAAGATAGATTACTGGAGTTCTGTAAATCCACTTCCAACATGGAACAAAGAGTGAATACTAGCATTTCTTAAGGATAGAACAATTGTATCTGATCAAGAGTATATATTCAGTTTCTATCACATAACTTGTTTAGTTACTACCATATGAAAGTAGAAACTGAAACATAGTGTTCGTATGAAATTACAGATTAAGGGTTAGAAAGCTATTCAGAATGTACAATCAGGAGCATCCTGCACAGCAATTGAGCATTCAAAGTAACCATTCAAGGTTTAGAAGATCACATTCACAGGACCAATATTTCTAACTGCTAAAATACAGTAAAGATTTTTGCAGAATAAGAATATTTTTTAATTTAGTGAGCATGGTTTCAAAAGAAATGAATGCACCTGTTTGGCAACATCCAAAAGCATCTTAACGAACTATGAGAAAGGAAATTAGTAATGCTTGTTAAATGTATAGCTCACAGTGCTTGAAATGGTAGCTTGCCTCTTTATTGCTAGTCATGAGCTCCTTAATGACGGCATCACTAGATGAAAGTGCAAGGGCAACAAGGTCCTGCCATGCTTTACCCCTTGCTGCTATTATTCCTGTGTCAAGCAATGCTCTGCCATCATCTAGGATGGCACGGCCCTCTACAAGCTCGCTCACTGTCGGCTTCTGCAGGATATCATCAACCAAGCGTAGCGAATAGGTCTCCTGATCAATCCCACCGTCCTTTGATGCTACAACCACTCCATGATTAGCAGCCACATCCAGAGTGGTGGGCACCGTCACAATACAAGCGGCGTTGTCAGGAAGATACAGGTTGGAGGCATCAAAGCACGGGAGAACATCCCCGGTCATTATGAAGATCCCACCTGGTCATCTACGGGCAATTAGAAATGGAAACAAATGTGTCAGTCCCTTCATATGGAGATCGCATAGTCTGTCAATTTTGTCTGAGCTACAACCTTGGTTGTTGAAAGCTTGCCATGCACTGGAGGAGATGGCAAGAATGTGATCGAACAGAAGCGGAACAGGTCCATCGGGATTGTCTCCGGCCAAGTAAGGCAGAGGGAGAAACGCCTTCCCCATGGGGTTCGCCCACGGAACCCTCTTGCTGTCGCCCCCGGCGTGAAGCAAGAGCACGTGCTTCTTCGCCATGAAGCCCGCTGCCGCTGCGATCGCGGACTCATCCCCCGAACCACCATTTGCTGCTTCGGAAAGGAATTCGCCGATCTCTTCCTTGGAAGCCTGCGAAGAGAATCCCGATATCCCAATAGGCCATCAGACCAACGGGTCGAGTAGAGTAAAGCAAGGTAGCGATAGTAGGGCAGAGGGTTGGTGGGTAGGACCTGGGCGGCGAGGTGGCGGGCAAGGGCGGCGACGGCGTGGAGCGTGGCGGCGCCTGAGCCGATGCGAGCGCCGTCGGGGTCGGGGACGGCGATGGCCGCGGTGGATGCGGGGAAGCCGTCTGTCAGATTCAGGCACCGTCGTGTTAAAGGCCACTGGATACAGTGCTTCATCACCCTGCATGCGCCACGATCGCCTTCTCGGCAGCAGCAGCATGCACGCGCCAAAAGTTCAGCGAGCAGGTAGCTTACCTAGTTGACTTTATTTTTTTTTACCTAAGTTGAGTTGACTTTATTTTTTTAATTCAATATATTTAATGAGAGCTAGAGCCATTCTTAGGGAGAGAGAGCATGAGCCAATACGAGGACGCGATGTGCAGCTACACAACAGTTTTGATTTGCATTCCCACTCTGCCACGGTCAACTAACTTTATCCGGCTCTGCCGCGCCAACGATCAGCGCCCGGTCGTCACCACGTCAACCCTCTCGCCGCACCACCATGCATGTCGCGGCATAGAAGTTTCGCCGCGCCAGGGAAATAGGCACAACCAAAAATGTTAGTTTTGGAGAGAAAAAATAGTGTTAGATTTAAAATTAGTTTAAAAAGTGTTAAAAAATCCATGTGGCGGCAAGTAACATTATTTAAGTCTCCTTTGACACGGCTCATCCAAAACGGCTTCACCGGTGAAGCCAAAGCCGGTGAAGCCAGAAAAATTAGCTTTTCTCGGCTTCTAGTTCATTTTAACTCCAACTTACAAAACGACTTCACGCTACAGTGCCTCGATTTGTGCAAAATAGATGAAGCCGAAGCCGACATAAGCCATGCCAAAGAGACCCTTAACATGTGCATTCTCACTGTAGTACCTGGCGCTGTGCGTAGATGTAAAATCCGGAGGTAGCACTGCAACATGCATGCTCAGTAGATAGGGAATAAAAAATTGAATTAATACTAGACAGGGGAATCAAAATTCAGTGCCAAAGGAGGAAGAGGAAGTTTTCATAGTTCTATAGCGGGAATTTTCTGTTTTTTTTCCACCATACATTATCTTCTCTCCATCTTTACGGAAAGATTCCACGATCGGTCCGCTCCGCTCGCCTCCTTCCATGGCTGAGCTCGTAATTCGCCCCAACCGAGCTGTGCTCGAGCTCTCCCTCCATCCAACCGAGCTGTGCTCGAGTCGTTCGCTCGTCGGCATTTTCACCCACCAAAGTACCCCTATGGCGCGGTGCGTTGCATGAAACTGCAACGACGGAGTCACAGAGAGAAAGGTGTTGGAGTCCGTTGGATCCTAGGCCATGTTTAGATTGCAAAAAAATTCAATCCGATGAATAGTAGCATTTTCGTCTTATTTGGTAAATATTGTCTAATCGTGAACCAACTAAGCTCAAAAGATTCATCTCGTGATTTCCAACTAAACTGTGCAATTAGTTATTTTTTTACCTACATTTAATGCTCCATGTAAACGGCTAAAAATTGATGTGATAAAGAGAGAGTGAAAAAACTTAGAATTTGGAGGTGATCTAAACAAGGCCCTAGTGCTATATCTTGGGCGAACCGGCTGAGGACGACAGGGGAACAGGACGTGTTGGGCTCATTAGCTAGCTGCCTCTCAACTCCGTTATTGGCTTCTCCATACTATTTGTGAGCAGCTTTAGGCTTGGATCATGCGTGCATGTGCTCTAACTGCAGAGCATGAATGTCCGCCGGATTACATTTGGTTTCAACACAGGCCAGATGGTCCCGTCCTTGATTTTAAGGATAGGATCATTCTATCTCAGTGTTTGATTAGGAGATGGAGATGTCTCTAATTTATATTTGGTTGGAGAATAGTAAAGTTGGGATGAACGTTAATGACAAGTAGAATCCTCTTATGGTCCTGTTTGGCTGGCTGAAAAAATGGTTGATGCTGATGTTGATTTGTTGTGAGAAAAAAACAATCCCCCCAAACACCGAAATAAAATAAAATGTTCTACTTAATTCCTGTTTCGTTCTCAAACCAAACACTAAGGTGTCACTCGTAGGATCGTTCGACGACCGACCTCAACGCACTAAGGTGTCACTCGTAGGAACGTGAGCGAGACGCTTTTTGACAATGTTTGTTTCTAGCACTAGTAAGGACATGTTACAAGAGCTAATTGATAGGTAGTTAAAATTAGCTCTATTGCATTTATCCAGGAGAGCTAACTGATGGACTATTTTTTTTTAGCTACATGTTCAACTAGTAGTTAGTCAACTAGCTAGCCAACTTGAGCTAATTTTAGCCCCGCTAGTAATTAGCCATTTGTATCTAAACGGGCCAAAAAAATGCAGCATGTAAATAATTTGATGCTAGTGCGATACCTCTCTGTTTCTGAATAAAATCTAGAGTTGTCTTAAGTCAAACCTCTTAAATTTTGACCGAATTTTGTTTGAAAAAAAAAATCAAGATTTATAATATCAAATTTGTATCGTTAAATTAGATATATCATAGAATATATTTTTTTATAATATGTTGATTTTATGTCGTAGACGTTGTTACTCATTTCCATCAAATTAGTAAAATTTAAGATAGTTTGGACTTACGAAGCCAGCCCGTTGACAGGCGTTTCACGGCACCGTTTTCGCTGGTGATCGGCCCGAAATCTGGGCAACCGCCATTAGCAAAAGGACCGCGGGCGCGTCAGTGCTTCGTGACCCGCGCCACGATCCACCAAACACGACAGCGGTTTCTCTCTAAAAAAAAAACAAGACAGCTTTGAACCTGAACATTTTTTTATTTTTTTACGGAGGGAGTACTCTCAACGCGTAGAGGAGTACTCTTACTCTCAACGCGTGGGAGCGAGGAGCCAAGTGACAGCGTCGTTGGTTTTTTGCCCGATCGACATCGGCGTGACGCGACGGCGAGTCGGCGATGTGTAGAGTTGCAGGGCGCCCAGGGAAGGGATGGTGGCGCGGGCGGCGCTGCCGCTGTTGGGTTTGGGTCACGGGCGCGCGTCCGGACGCGACGAAGCAGCGTCGTCGCCTTGTCGCCAGTCGCCACCGTGGGGCCGCCGAAGCCCACGCGCTCTCTTCTGTCGGTGGCGGTGACGTCAGGTGAGGCAATGCATGTTGGATATGCATGTCCAGTACTACAGTATAGAGGCCATAGCAAAATGCCACTCGGTTTCAGTTTCAACACATGTACTCATGCATGCTGGTACGTTTCAGCTTCTGTTGGTCTCATGCCGGTACACTATTTCTTCTCCAGAGACAAATGATAGCATTTGATAAAACTTCTCGTTTTATGGTGTGCTTATCTTGTCACAAAAATCATAATTTATGGCCAGAGTTCTTTAAAAAGTTTAGAGATGTATTCCAATGATGGGAGGGAGGACAACAGGCTATGCTCGGGAACAAATTTAGTGACGTCCTACTAAATCCGATCATTTAGTTGTGTCATTCTTCTTGGAGGCATGGCATGGGGGTCTTGTGTTGTTAGACTTTGGTTTAATTTTTACTCAAATTTTGTGTGTTATGCAAGAACAAATAGTGAGATATATGTCACCGAGCTTCTCCTGACACACGTGGTCTCTTTGGGCTGAATCGCCATTGCATTTCCATGTGAGAGTGGGTGCCTACTCTTTGTGATGCTGATTTTTGTAGGTGCCAAGCCAACCATTATACTGCATGCATGGTTATAGCCTCTCCTTCTGGCTTGCTTCGTCACTGCTTCAAGCTTCCCTGGCGCGTTCCCATGTGAAATTGTCCTTGGTTTTAGTCATGGACTACATCTTGTAGCGTCTCGCGATTTCTCACCCAATCTGACAATTTTTTTTTTTCTCTACATTTAGTACTCCATTATGTGCCGAAGATTCAATATTTTGGTTTATTTTTTAGTCCTAGAAACTAAACGGGGCCTAATTCAATTCTCTTCTCTAATTCAATTTCTCAAAATTTTTCACTAGGTAATAATGGCATAAGCGTTAAATATAAATCTAATTACACAGTTTAGACGAAATTCACGAGACGAATCTTTTAAGCCTAATTATACTAGGAGTGCGCTAACCTTTTTATACAAATTGGCTCACCCACACTCTGAGCTGTTTGTTATAACAAAATTTGGAAACCTATCCATTTGTTACAAGTTTCTCCGTGAATCGCTAAATCTTATTGCATGGGATGTTCTCATCCTTTATCTTTGGTTTGTCTCAAAGAGTAGCAAAAGATGGCTTAGCCACCGCCGAGAAATGGGTGGGGATAGATATGATCCTGCTCATATCCGGTGAAACCATCGATTCGGTGCCGAGCTCGATTGAATGACTCAAAGCCGCTGTCGAGAGACTAGCACCTTTACTTTACGCATTAATTTCGCTGTTGATCTCTGTCAAATAACAACGAAAGTGCTACAGTACCATTTCTCAAAAAATTTCGCCAACTAAACATTTTGCTCACTGATTGTGATTGACATTATGATATACTATTTACAAGCAACAAACCGCTTACCATCCTAGGTACTGTATATGTTCCACACATGCAGAGAATAGAGATTAACAAAATTGCCGCGATTAACATGTCATTTCAAGTTTGAAATTGGTCCCACACATGTGGAAAAGAGAATAGAGATTAACAAAATTGGATACTGTTTGGTGGAGTTTCGGCTGGCTCCGATTCCTCCCGTAACTTTATAAGTCATTTTTTTTTGTTTAGCTAAGTTTGAAATTGGTCCCACTATTCAAAGTGTGGATTTCTCACCCAAGGATTAGTTTTTTCATCTATATTTAGTCTTTATACATGTCGAATTCGATGAATGGATACTACGCAAAAAATTTAGCAATAAAAGAATAAATGAATAACGAGGCGGTGAAGTTGTGAATGTAGTTTTTTTTTAGTTTCATTGGCTTTAGCATTCAGCTTTTTCGAACACTGCCACAAGAAGATGAAGCCGAATGAAGTCGTGACAACCGGATCCTCTCGGCCTGTTTGATCCGTCCCTCTAAATTTTAGAGTTTCAAAAATCTTAGAGCACTTTAGCTTACTTTTAAGATCTAAAACTTTAATATAAGGTGAGCTAAAGTTTAGAACTAATTTTAGACTATCTATTTTGAGCTTTAACTCTAAAGTTTAGAGCTCTAAAGTTTAGAGGGGAGGATCTAAACAGTCACTTAATTATTCTTAGATGAAGTCTTCTAAAACAAAGCTTTTTTAGACCAAGATTTGTTAACTAGTATTTGTGTAGATATATAATTATGTATGGTCGTGTAAATGGTACTCTAATATAGGTATGCCATCACCAGCATCACTACCAATCAACCTATATATGTATGTATGTATCCTATCATCACCAATCAACCATCAGATATGATTGCTGTGGACCACGAGCCATCTATGTCCACCTTCGTAACAGTACCTCTTTAGCTAGTGATAAATTGTGTCTATTATTATCTCCATTTTCTACTACCAGTACGTACCCCATCGAGGACTTTTTGGAATGCATGATTTTCAAACACATAGATTAGAAAAAAGCATAGGATTTCACATGTAACTTACGCATTAAAAATGTAGAAAAGTTTTTATTGTGATCATTAGATGCAACATATTAAAAAATACAGGAATTTCAAGAGAGGGTTAGAGATAAAACAAAAGTTTCTATGAGTTCCATCCTGATGTTAGTTTTTCCCAAAATTTATGTGGCTTTATATACCCGTAGGAACCCACAGAAATTTCATAGGATCTTCTAAGCCTTTGTTTCAAAGGAACATAAATGAAATTTTACCATATGCTTAAATTTCTAAAATTACACCGTGTCAGTATACGCATGAGGGCCTATTTGGATTGGCTAAACCGAGGTTTAGTCCATGTTTTGGATTCCAAGCAGAAGGCCTAAACATTAACTAATTATGGTATAATAAATACTAAAAGAGGCAAATATATGAGTAAAATTATTAGGAAAAAAAGAAATTTTAATTAGTCACGACGAACTGGTAATCAAATAGGCCCTGAGTCAATCAATTTTTCAACCCCCGTCGTCCTACTTCTCCCACGCTAGTACCCTACGGATACGCGGGGCGGTACGGTAGAGTTTGGCCGCTTGACATTTGCCGATGGCAGACGGAGACGCACCACGAGACCTCTTGTTTTGTACCAGATGTACCAGACCGTCTCCCTTGCCGTCGGTGCTGTGGTTCGCCTCCCACTCACGCTACCAGCTGGGTTGGGACTGGGAGGGACTGGACCAAACCAATAGAGACCATCCCTCTTCTCCTCTGCCGGCTGCCGGTGGTGTGGTTCGCCTCCCACTCACTCACTCACACACTGTCACACACTTCCGCCACGATCTCCATATATAACACGCCGCCGCCCCGTCCGTCCGGGCTCCGGACTCCCGATCCACCGCCGCACTCTCCCTCTCCCTCCTCTCTCTCTCTCTCTCTCTCCCCCAAAGTCCTCGCCGCCTGCTAGCCTGTGCCTGTCCAAAAGCAAAAATGGCGCCTTGGCTGCGGCGGCCCGTGCTGGTGCTGCTCCTGCTGCTCGCGCTCCTCTGCTCCCACGTAGCGCTCTGCTCCTCCGCCGAGCCGGGGAAGCCAAAGCCCAAGCCCAAGGTCTCCGGCGGCCGCAAGGCGCTGCTGGCGGACGACGACGGCGAGGAGGCGGCCGCCGCCAAGCCGGCCAAGACGGCCGCGGCAGGGAAGACCAAGAAGAAGCTGCTCGCCGGCGACGCCGCTTCCAAGAACCAGACCAAGGTTGCCAAGGCTAAGAAGCCAGAGTCAGCTGCCACCGCGGCGAAAGGGGCCGCCAAGAAGCCCGCTGGCAAAGCGGCTGCGGGTGGGGACGCCGCCATTGCCAAGGTCTCCAAGGCCCCCAAGGACCCCAAGGCGGACAAGGCCAAGGTCCCGAAGCCGGACAAGGCGGCGGCGGCGGCGGCGGCTGGTGCCAAGGCTAAGGGCGCCGATTCGGCCAAGCCTGCCAAGGTTTCGAAGACCGGCGCCAAGGCGGTGAAGCCACCTAAGACGGGCGCCAAATCTGAGGTTGCCGCCGCGGCTGGGAAGGCGAAGAAACCGGCGGCGGCCAATTCGACCGCAGATGCCGGTGCCAAGCCGGCCAAATCCGGCAAGAAGGCGGCGCAGGTGGTCGCCGACGCGAAGGCGAAGGCGAATGCCACCGTCGTGAGCAAGGAGGAGTCGGCGGCGGCGGCGGAGACGGCGGAGGTGGAGGTGGAGGTGGAGGAGGACGTGGTGTTCGCCAAGGAGGCAGAGGAGGGCACGGACGACCTCATCTCCGAGTTCCGGGACCTGCCCAGTCGGCTGCAGGAGACGCTGATGCCGGACCTGGCGCGCCTGTCGCACCACTCCAAGGCGTACATGTCCGCGGCGAACGCCGGCATCGCCGACGGCGTGCGCCCGATCCTGGGCGGCCGGTGGGCGGCGGTGGCCGCCTCCGCTGCGTCGGTGGCGGTGCTGCTGCTGCCGCTCTTCATGCTCACCGCGCTGGTGCGGCGGATGGGCCCGTACCTGCCGCTGCTCCACCGCGCGCTGCTGCTGGCGCAGGCGTACCTCGCCATCTACTTCGCCACGCTCGCGCTCGCCGCGGCCGCCACGGGGCTGGAGCCTCTGCGCTTCTTCCACGCGGCGTCCCCCGCCGCCTACGCCTGGACGCAGGCCGCGCAGTCCCTCGGCTTCATGGGCTACCTCGTGCTCCAGATGGTGGACCTCGTCGCCGTCTTCTCGGGCGCCGCCTCCCCCGAGGACGATGGCAACGGGGACGCCGCCAAGGCGCTTGGCCTCGCGCAGATGGTGGTCGGCCTCGCCGTCGGCCTGCACTACTACGCCGCGGTCTTCCACCGCGCCGCGGCGGGGGAGGCGCCCCGCGCCAACTGGCGCGTGTACGCTGTGTACGCGGCCTGCTTCGCCATCGTGTGCGCCTGCGCGCGCGCCGAGAGGAGGAAGAAGGCCTACCTCGCGGGCACCGACGGCGCCGCCGAGGAGTGGAAGAAGAGCTGAGCTGCTGCTCATCTCGGGAAACATGACTAGATCAGAATTCAGGACTCGGGAGGGACTTCTCTGAAAAGAACCCAATATGGTGGAAGCCCAAGGGCGTGAGTGTAAGAAAGGCCCAGAATTTAGGAAGAAAAGGAGGGTATAAAAGGAAAAGAAGACGGGGGACAAGCTGTGATTTTTCTTTTTTCCTTTTCTACATTTATTATTTATATAATATGTTCCCCTTTTCGTTTTAAGGTATTGATTTGAGTACAGAGGGATAATAAACTCATAAACCTGGATGGAATGACCAGGTTTAGTTCATGGATTTCTCTGGCTCTGGCCATGTCAACTTCACTTCTCTATTCATGTTAATGTGCATTGATCAGATAGCTGAACTCTTCTTATTTTACATTGCAAAGTAGGCGTGAAAAACAAATCTGAATACATAATTGATCAACAACGGATACAGAATGCATCCGTTTTTTACAGCCTGAAGCTGAAAGCGCATATGGTTGTGCGCAAACTGCATTTTGCAGGGTTTTACCACTTCATCAGCACCTAAATGTTCAGTGACTATGGACAAATGTGATGACTCCAAACTGAGATCCTTGCAGGGTTTTACTACTTCATCAGCAACTGAAGAGCTAGATAATTGGTTACAGTTCGACCAAGTCTGCAACGCAACTCCCGTGACCTGCGAGTGCCTCCACCGCGATTTATTCATGATCTGACAGTGTCATCCATGCCGCTTCAGGTTCTCAGGATCCCCAGCCTCTCAGTCCCACTTGGAAGCTGCTACAACTTGCAATATACCAATATGTCGAGAAGGGTCAGGCGATCAACACAGCGGCATGTGTCGCCTTGGTGACAACATAGTGACCGAACTCGGTGACAACATGCTTACCAGCAACAGAATTTGGTTTCCCAATAAGAAATATAATCAGCACATTGTTGCCTTGGTGACAGCATAGTGACCAAACTGACCAGATGTCATGTTGTGCGGTGATCCTAAATATGAGCCCCAAACAGATGGATTATCTGACCAAAGAACTAATTATCGGGCCAGGAATTTAGAAAGGGTTCTAGACTTATGGTTTCCTTGCCATCTGCATGACTGCATCCAATTGGCACGACCCTTTAGGTCAGATCTTGTTGTGGATTCCCAGCTATGTTCTCCAACAGCACCTCTTGCACAACCGCAACATCTTTCTCCATCCTTGCCTCCTTGGATTAGTACTAGTCCACAGAGGAATTACTGTATGCATTATTTGCCATCAACCTCAGAAACTGGTCCCTGATCCAAGGACATGATAACCAGTGAATCAACATGGGATAATCAGTATGAGCTCTTAAAAAAACAGTGAAAGTTTGAAAGAAACTTACCAGCAACCTTTTATCAAATCTTTCAGCTTCCATCTCCAGCAACCTAGCAGCTTCATCCATCCGAAGTGCAGTGTACGCCTGAATCATGGTGGCATAAGTTATTTTGTCAGGCTTGCATTTCTTCTCCTTCATAAGCTGCAGCATCTCCTCCATGATTTTGATATCTCCAGACTTTGCATATGCGCTTATCACGCAGTTGAAGAATGGAGTATCTAAGACAACATTGGTGTTCTCGGTCTGTCGAATAATCCCTGGAACCTTGTCAAGAAGCCCAGCTTTACTGTACCCGTTAACTAGCGAGCAGTAGGTGATGTGGTTGGGTTTGACACCCTGAATCTTCATAAGCCGGAAATAGTACTCCATCTTTTCTATGTTTCCAGCACGTCCAAAACACTCTATCACTGTGTTGAAGGTAACCGCGGTCGGTGAGAAGAACCGTTTCTTCATGTATCTGAATATCGACATCATCTTGTCATACATGCCAGCCTTACCGTAGGACTTGATCATGATGTTGAACGTCTTGGTATCTGGCTCAACACCCATCAGCTGAAACTCACTGTAACTCTTCTCCATCTCATCTGTTCTTCCATGGTTGCCATACGCCCCGATGACGGAGTTCATGGTGTAAATGTCTGGCACATTGCTCCCACTCTCAAGCATAGTGGAGAGCGCACTCTCCATCTCCTCAAACATGGCAGCCTTGCCGTACCCGTCAATTATCGCGTTGTGGATAACGGAATTGCATTCGATCCCCAGGTATGACATCTCGTCGAGAACAGCAGGGATCAGATCGAAGCGGCGCGACTTGGCGCAGCAATCGATGAGGACGGAGAAGGTGTACCCGTCCGGCTTGCAATCAGCGGCGCCTTTCATCTGCTCGACGGCGGTCAGCGCTTCCTCCAGCAAGCCGCTGTAGCCGTACGCGCCGACGAGCGCCGTGTACACGTCCGCCGTCGGTCGGAGCCGCTCCGAGAGCATCGCCTTGAAGAGGGAGGCGGCGGGACCGGGCTGCCGGCACTTGCCGAGCATCATCAGCAGCCGCGCGTAGGTCTGCGACCTCGGCTCGTACCAGTGCTGCTTCCGCAGCAGCTCGAAGATCTACCGGCAAGCAAAGCAAGAGACAAGGTAAGCATCGTTGAGGAGAGCAGAAGGTCCTCCGCGGTGAAGAAGGGGGAAAAGCGCAGGGATGTAAGGGACCTCGAGGGCGGACTCCCAGCGGCAGGCGGCGACGGCAGAGTCGAGGGCCTCGAGGACGGCGCGGGGCCAGAGGTTTGTGGACTGCTGCCGCGCGGCCGCGGCCTTGCGGGAGACGCCCGAGACGGCGGCCTCGGTGCGGAGGATGCGGGCAAGGGCGTCCGGCTGCCCGTGCTCAGCCTCGGCCTCGCGGGTGGACGGGGACGAAGACGGTTTCCGCCTCTGACGCCGGCGGCCGGTGCCGCGTCGTGCAGCAGGCACGACAGGAGCACGGCTGGCGCGGGAAGCTGGGCCCGGCGAGCTGGTGGGCGGGAGCTGCGTCTGCAGGTTCATCATGGCGCTAGCGGAACCTGGAAGCGTGACGGGTGCGAACGAAACGGCGATAAGGGTCGGACGCCGGAGCGATGTGTGCCGTCAGGTCGCAGAGTCTAACTCTACGCACAAAACAAAACAAAAAACGCTGAGCCGCGAGAGAACGACGTCCCACCGGTTTTTCATAAGAAAAAGAAATTCTCACGCAGCTCGCGAAAAACCCATATACAGTGGCACTGCATCCCCGTAAGACGAGACAATTTTAGCATGGGACGAGAGGATTTTTATTACACTAAGTCTGAAATTCGCTCAGTAGGGGTTAGAACTCAGAACCTGAGGGATTCCGTCAGAACCTCTACCAGTCCGACTAGAGGTCCTTTAGCACAAGACATACAGTGCCAACTCTCCGTGCTTGTTTGGGCATCAAATCTCATTACAAAATAGGAGTACGCTGAACACATCTGAATCCGCCACTAGTTCACAGTCCACCAGCCTAAAAACTGGGAATGCAAAGGTTCGGTGTAGAAGTCAGTCGACTACCATTACATTTCAAGTATCAGCAGCACAGGATATACTTAAAAACAGGCAAGGTGGCAATGGCAAGCAACCCATGCATCCAATTTCTTTGAGATGCGAGATTTTGTTGCAATCAACCAGCCTGTTCGCTTGTTGGTTTCAGCCGTGGCTTATCAGCCATGGTACAATATTTTCCTCTCACAATAAACTAGCACCAGCCAGGCTTATCAGCCCAAAAACCAACCAGCGAACGGTAACAACGGGAACCAGGAAACCAGCATCACGTTACATGACAACACTCAGATATACTTGGAACAGTAACTCTTTCACGACACCACGGTTGATCCAGGTATACTTGGCACGGCAAAATCATGTTGCTTACCACTTCTTCCTCTTATTGGGTTCTTCCAAATCGACAGGCTACAAAAGATTTCAAGCATTGGTTATAATTATAAGCAAAGTTCAAAGATGATTGATAATCAGATGTAGCAAGCTGATAAGAAGTATGTGCTTTTGAAGTTACGCCACTGAAACCAAATATGTTTTACTTCGCCTTTCGGCATATTAAATCTGCAATTAAAGCATATAACTTCACGGAATTTGCTTACCTAGTATTGATCATAGCCAGGGCTTTCTCCTATCGTAGCGATCATAAACAGGGCTTCTGCCCCTGTCGTAGCGATCATATACAGGGCTTCTGCCCCTGTTGTAGTGATCATATACAGGGCTTCTGCCCCTGTTGTAGTTTGCTCCATCACGGCGATCATACCCAGGATAACGCCCGCGCCGATCATAATCTGGACTGTACTCCCTTCGGTACCTTGGGCTAGGTGAGCGCATGTAGGGGTTACCACGGCGTCTGTCATAAGTACCTCGCTTGGGGCTGCCGTATCTGTCATCTCTCTCGTTGTCATCATCCCGGAAGGCATATTCAACGGTCACTACCCTGTCCAATATGGTGCTGTGGGCAACCAAAAACGAATAACACCCAATTAGGAGAATTTTTTTAAATGTAAAGAAAATCAGTGCAGCTAAACTCTGAGGCAAGGAATTCATGACAAGGCACCACTTAAAAAATGTCAATTTCAGATATATCAAGCTAGGGAAGTAATCATAACTATAGGGACAAAAAGCAGAATATTCCTAAAAGAAAAACTATGTCTACTAAATCTATCTTACTGCTGACGTGAGACAAAAGAAACAACATGGAGTCACTTCTGTGAAAACTTCTAGAAATATTAGACCCTACAAACTGAATCCCATTGAAAGGAAACAACTCATGTGCAATATCTCAAATGGCTATCAGAATCAAGTGAAAAGATGCAAAAGAACAGTATCACTTGAAGATGCCCGCAAATGCAGATATCCTGCAGGGCATAAGCAGATGCTATGTATTTATCACTTCCATGTTGACACTAACCTAATTTACTAAATAAATTAGATCTGTCAAACAACTAAGTAGGAAACCATTAAGTGCGCATAACTTAATGTGGTATTTACACATTAGAAACCAATAAACTATCATCAAAGGTAAGTAAAACAACTCCAGGAGCGAGGGATACAATCCGTTATATTGAAAAGAAAAGAATGCCCTAGTTATAATCTAGTAGCAGCTTCAGATACATGTGAGGCAGGAAATATTGTCATGGTACTGGGAGCAGCAGCAACTCAAGGACACACTAACGACAGAAGGATGGCTAGTGGTAAGATAATAATACCTCTTGTCAGTGTTCTTGACAGCGGCACTAGCTTCCTCTTGCGTCTCATACTGTACAAACGCAAAGTTCCTTCGAATGCGAATGTTGGCAATCTTGCCATACGGTTCAAAATGCCTCTCGATATCTTGAATCTTAGTGCGCATGGGGTCAAAATTGATAACAAAGAGGGTTCTCGTTGGCTTTACATCCCCAGTAGGTCTATCACGGCTCTTTGGCACTGGTTCAACTTGCTGAACAAATTAAAGAAATGAATGGTTGCAATTAATAAATTTACGAAATGTTGCTCATAAAGAAAATGGAAGTGGCAAAAATATCTATCCAGGCATAGAGCCATTGACAAGAAATTACCCTGGACCATTCTACAGAGAGCCTGCGCCTGTCGTAACCAAAAGACACGTTGTCGAGACGCCTTATAGCATCCTCTGCATCACGCTCATCTTCAAAGTAAACGAAAGCATAGCCTACAACAGATATATTGACAGAGAAATTGAGCAGTGACTTCCAGGATTTCCATTGCCCCCCACCACAACTACTAGTACATAATACAACATAAAGTAAAAAAACAAAACAAATTTGCAAACATGCACATGCCCCATGAAAACATATGCACTGGATGATTAGGTGTTGTCATATAGCAAGGACCAAGGAGATAAGTGCACCATGCACATGTACCATATAAGGTGTAGTGCAAGGTCGGTTAAGACTGGTTGGGGGATTCCACTAGGAATGTTCACGGCACACTCATAGAGAAAATTTCTTCAATGCCATTGGAATTTATAAGCTTCCCTTCAATGCCATTGAAAATTATGCATTTCCTTCATTGCCATCAGTTTCTAATTTTGCTTCTCCTGTGTGCCATTATTACCGAATTTCCGTTAAAACTATGTGCTCACCGTTAAGTCTACCCAGAGCAATAGCACAAACACCTTATGTGCAATAGACACCGTTAAGTTGGGGAGCACTGTGGCCTGTTCCAGCCTAGAATGTTGGAGGCAGACGCTAAGTGCTGAGCAGCACGCTGGCAAAGCGAGCCAGCTGGCAAACACGTGGGAGAGGTGAGGTGATCGGTGGTGGTGGCATGCGCGCGCAGGCAGGCGGCCAACGTGCAGGGAGAAGAGGTGGACTGCAGTGGCGGCATGCGCGGTGTGCACGTGTGGGCAGCATGCGTGTGGTGAGGAGAGGCAACCGGCATGTGCATGTCAGCGATGAACACGAGGCCGGCAGAGGTAGCCCACATGATGGTGCGTGCGCGACTGGCAAATCGAACGCGTGACCAGCCGGTGGACACTCTTCGTCTCCCTCAACCCCTCTAGCGCCCGCTCCGTACACCTCTACCTTCGCGAGGTCTGCAACAGCCAGGCCAAGAAGTGCCGGAAACCGCCGTCTGCCTCGTCCCAGTCGTCGCAGCAGGCCGCTCCCGCCTCCTCGCGGGCCCTGTCGGTTGTGGCGACCGAGAGGGATGACGTGCAGGCGCATGTACCGGATGCCGGGCACCAGCACCAGCACCACTTCATCCCACGCCACACCCGTAGTTCCTGTACGGGTTTACTTCAACCTGGTGCCAAGCAACCACGAAGAGGTGGCTGGCAATGGCAACAGCAGCAGCGCCGGCGTGACTGCGCATGCAGCAGGGTGCATGCTGCCGCTGTCAGTGTTCAAGTAGCTGTATAGACAAGCGAGTAGATTAATCCCATTGGCCAAACGTGGTGTGCTAGTTCGTGGGCGCACGGCGCGGGAGGGTTACAGCGGCGAGGCGCTAGAGGCCTACGGGCATGGCATAGGAGCCCTGGGCATGTGAATGGATGGCTAGTTTTTTTTTCTTGAAGGAACACGTGCAGCGTATGGGCACGGAAGTTACACGGAGGAAACAAACAGGCGCGCAGATGCAGTAACGGAGATTTTGGACAGGATTTAATGGCAATGGCAGATAAGGGAGACAAAATTTAGAAGCAATGGCATAGAAGGAAACTCATATTTTTCAATGGCACATAAGACACAAGTACAAGTTTGAATGGCATAGAACAAATTTTCTCAATACAAATTAGTGCTCCTGACTCCAGGTTTTGCATTTATGATTAGATTCAGGACAAGCAAGATCTAGCGCAAGATACGTTAAGACTGGTTGGGGGATTCTACTAGCATACAAATGCTCAAAGCACACTCATTAACACAAATACAAACTAGTGCTCCTGACTCCAGGTTCAGCATTTAGGATTAGATTCAGGACAAGCAGAATTAGCATTTCATTAAATAGGCATTTGCATTGATGACCAAACATGCTGCATTCCCCTTATATTGCCGTGCAAGTGCGGAGAGATTGGTTAAGACTAGTTGGGGGTGCTGGTAGGATACAAATATTCATGGCGCACTAAAAAACACAAACAAACTATCGCTCCAGACTCCAGGTACTGCATTTAGGATTAGATTCAGGACATGCAGAATTAGTATCTTTTAATAGGCATTTGCATTGATTATTATCAGACACAAGCGGCATTCCCTCTCTATTGAATTTAAGCGCCAGGCAAGTAAAGAGGAGAGATGGAGTACCTGTCTTCATGTCGATCCGGCTGATGGGGCCGTACTTGGAGAAGAGGCGCTCGAGGTCGTACTGGCGGGTGTCGTGGTCGAAGTTGCCGCAGAACACCGGCCTCATGGTCTCCGCTGCCTCCTCCGCGGCGGCACTTTGAAACTCCCGCCGTCCGTCCCAAAACCCCTCGTTGTCCCCTCGGAGCCCGGCGAATCGAGAGCACCGACTAATAACTCCACTAGAGAGGAATCGAGAGCGCCGGGAAAGCGCCGGGTTCGGAAGAGCGATGAGCACCGACCTGCGGCGACGCCGACGGGTCGGAAGCGGGCGCGACCGCGCGAGTGGCGTGCGGTAAAAACCCTAGGGGGAGAGACAGGGGCGCAGGGCCAGGGACAGGGAGCGAGCGGTCGGTGGGGACGACGCGACGGTGGAAGCAGCGGTGAAAAATTGGCAGCGATGGGGTTGTGATGTGAGCGAGGGGGGACGCCATCGCGGTGGAAACAGGCCCGTCTAGCCCAGGTTACTGTACCCGGGTTGGTAAGGTCCATGTGTGCCGGGCCTTACAGCTCGGTAGGATCTGGGCCAGATTCAAGAGCTTGAACCAGCCCAAACCCAATCTTTCCGGCCCATCCAGACATCTTTTCATCAACCAATATTTTTACTCACCCCAAAAAATCAATATTTATTTTTTTCTACAAAAATCTATTTATACTGATTATTTTCTACTGCATTGTACGGTCATGCACTCTCAATTGTATATGGACACATGCCATCAATCCCAGCAATTACCGACGGATTCGCCCCCCCCCCCTTCATTCACCCAAAAAAAATCAATATATTTATTGATTTGTGTTTGATTATTTGCTCTTGTGTTTGTACGGGCATACATGCACAACACATTTACCCTACTAATGTACCGACTTTTTCTTTACTAAACCCACACAACAAAACATCCCCGCTGAGATGCCACCCCTCTGTACACCCTAGAAAATGTACTCAGAAAAATCACATCTTTCAAACGAACTATCCAGATTCTATTCTAAGCCTTCTCTCTTCTTACTTACTCAAATTGAATGGTCCAGATCTTGTGTATCATCCTCCTCATCCTCCCCTGCGCCCAACCAAAACCAGCCGCGCCGCTCTTCACGGGCGCGACTCTAGCGCAAAAATCACGCCCCCTGCCACAATCGCCATGCCCCGTTGCTCCATGCAAGACTCCCGCTCGCTCCCTGCCGCGATCGCGGATCCCCCTGTCGCTCACCGTCACTCCCTGCTACCATCGCCAAGCCCCGACGCACCCTGTTGCTCGCCGTTGGTCACTGCCTGTTGCTCGCTGTCGGTCACTGCCGTCCTCTCCTTCTTGCTCCGTGGGGCGTGCGTGAGGCGCGGCAGCAGTGTGAGGTCAAAATTCTTGTGCGGAGGCGAGAAGCGATAGAAGCAGCGCGAACGCAATGGCGCATGAGGTCGCGGAGGTGCACGGGGGCCGAGCCCGCGGGTTGCATTGGCGCGGTCCTCAATCGACACGGACCTGACTACCATCCACAGCAATGGACGATCCTCAATCGACACGGATAGAGAAAATAGTGTAACCAAGCTAAGCCCCGTGGTCGCGGGACAGAACTCGTTACACCCACCAATACACATACCATATCCCTTCCCGGTCTCCATTTTCCTTTCATCATTTTTATCATGGGACTAATTATAATAATCACCTATTGTGAATAACGGCAGGTTACTCACGCTACCAAAAATCTAAGTATAGCAGCTACTCGAACCTACACTAGTAAGACTCATAGGACAGATATATCCATGCACGTGGGTTCCATAAAATTCATGTAACGTAAATGCACATGATATATATACATATAGTGATTATAAAAAATAAGGGTTATGCACCGAGGCTTGTCTTGGACAGGCGCGGTGTCAGCCGAGTCAGTCGTTGGTGGCTCCGGGACCTTCTCCTGCACGAGAATCTCCTCCTCGTACTCCTCGACGATCTCCTCGAACTCGTGATCGCCGGTGGTCACGATCTCCATCGACTCGTTCTCTTTATGCATGCGATGATAATGATGCAACAATTTAATATTTAGGCAACAATAACTCTTAAAATAAGAATACACATGTTAAGCTGCTAAGCTAGATCTAATGACTAAGATACTAAGCTAACTATCTGCTCTATCAAATCAAGTGTCAAGCTCACTCTAACAAGTACTTAATTTCCTAAATCAATGTTATGCTCTTATTCATATTAAAGGTTTAATGGATATGTAGCTACCCTAATAAGCAAGCTATATTAGGGCTACAAAAATTACAGTAAGCACATAATAATATAATGAAGCTATTGTTAAAATATCAGGATCAAAGCTATCATCAATTTACCACAAAAAAAGTCCTACAATAATTATCCTAATAATATTAAACGCTTTCAAATGATTTAATAGCTCTTAGTATCAACATAGATATGCAGGATCTATCTATACTACCAGATAGATCACAATTTTAGAAATCTAACAAAATTTGTTTCGCAATTTTTGAACATCTACACGATTTTATATTAATTGTCAAAGATCAGCTCAGAATTTAAAATAAAAAGCTATTACTAATTTCCTAAGAAAAAGATAAACGAATTCCATCACGCGGCCCACCCGCAAGGAGGCCCACGACGGGGGAGCCCGCGCGCGATGGCACTTTGCAAAAGAGCCCTCGGACTTCTCCCGAACTACACCTAAGTTCTAACGCTATTTCTTCCTCTCTCTGACGAATTCATTTAACCCCCTGAGTTTTTCCTAATTCACCCGCGCACACCCCCCGGCAACTCTGTGCACAGTGGTGCGGCGAGCGGCGGCACCGGGTGACTACGCCGGCCACCTGCGACCTACGCGAGCCTATCTAACGGGTCGATCACCATCTCCGACCTAGAGGACTACGCTAAGCGGCGGTGAGGGGTGGCGGGGCTCAATGGGGAAGGCTGCAGCGGCGTGCGGCCGTCCACGACAACGGCGCAACGGTTCCAGTGAACTAGAATAGCTACCAGCTTAACCAGCTAGTGTGCGAGTAGCAGGGGCTCACCGTGGACCTAGCCGAGGTGACGGTACGGCCGGGGACTGCCCGAGCGAGGCCGGCCACATGCGACCGAGCGGCATGGCGGCGCACCGCGGCGGACATGACCGCGTCAGCAGCGTCGGGGTAGCGGTAGAGGTACGGCTAAGGAGCGTAGGGCGACGTAGAGGTGGAAGCGAAGCTAGCGGTGCACTTGGATTGGGCCGGGGTGGACAGATGGGTGACGTAGAGGTATGGCTAAGGAGCGCAATGGCCGAGCTCGGCCTTATCGGCATGGCAGCGGGGAAAAACTCAAAATTGGAGTTTGGACGTACTCGCTTCAAGGCTGGGTGGGGTCGGAGGTCAGGTGGCTTAATGGAGAAGCCAGGGACGAGTCAAATTGAGTTGAGGTGATCTAACCATGCCAATTTGGGCAAGCGGGGTCGGCCAGTCGCGGTGGCAGAGAGAGAGGCAGTCAGCGCTCAGCTTGTCCTCGCCTTGGTGGGACGCGAGCGACGCGATCAGGACGCACACACGCAGGCGCAACAGACAAGGCGTGCGTGCGTCCGCGCCCAACATGGCACGAGCGGCTGCCGCGCCTTTATGGGCGAGACGACAACAGGTACGGCAATGTGTCAATGCCGTGGATACGCCAAGCGCGCGCAGCAGCGGCAGGGCCACCGGCAAGGCGGACAGTGGTGCAGAGCCGCAGGGGAGGTGCGGATGCGACGGCGAGGCGACGGCAGCGCAGCGCGGTCACGGCAACAGCGGCTCTCTGCGGCCGGCCTTGGCCAAGCCTAGGTGGGCTCGACCGACCCAGCGTGGCGGCACAGGGTGGCCGCGCGATGACCGCCCGCACGGCGCCAAACATCCTGAGGCTGTGTCGTGCACGAATTTTAAAGCGTTGATACAAGCTAAATTAATGAAGTTGGAGCTCAACCGCCTTCACTATACTAGAGAGGGTACATCAAACTATCATAAGGAATAAAAGCATAGCCCGGACCTTTAGCTAAATTTTCTGAAATTAATTCACCAACATGGCATTGTCACACTGTTTTCAAACCTAAAATTCTTCCAAGTCTTGAGCTGAATTTGATTTCAAGTTTCATTTCCAAGCCATTAGAAATACTAGCTAGTTATATTATTTTTCTACAGTAAAAGTTGCATTATCATCTACAAAGTTGGTACTTCAAACTTTATTTAAATGCCACATATATGTTCTATAGTATTTTTGTTCAATAAAAATTTGTTTTAAACCCTACTTGATATACATGGGTTATGGAATAGCCTCTCATTTAGCATTTTTATTGATCATCTTAGGTTCCAAAAAATTTATCCACACATTCTACCACATGCGTTATCACATAAACATGATGCTCATGACATGGTTTAGTAATTTGTTTAGGGCGTAACACCGAGGGTGTTACAGTATCCTGAAGATGGTAAAAATGTGCTGCAAAGGGCTGGAGAACTTAAGGAGTACAAAAATCTATGCAAAGGTAATAAACCCACTCTGACCACTGCTTTTGAAAGCAAGGAGTTTTTATTGCTAAAGCAAATTGTGTCAATATATCTTTGGGTGCTAATGCTGAAATGATTAATAGTAATGTTGACCTTATTTTAAATAAGGACCTAGTTGGTAGAAAGGAGTTTCTTGAGAAAAACCCTGAGATTAATCTCCCTACAGATCTAGAGATTGAGTTAGATTTGGAGAATTTCCCTAGTTTGGTTTCACAATCAAATACCTTGAGATCTTCTCCTTTAAAGGAGGTAGATGATAGTCTAGAGAACTCTTGGGTCAAAATAACTAGCAAGGGTCTTAAACCCTCTTCATCTGAAAATGTTAACAATGGTAGGTGCAACCTGGAATGTTAGAGGCCTCAATAAAAGAGGCAAATTACAATGTATCACTGATTTTGTGAATGAAAATAAGTTGGACTTTGTGGGTTTCCAAGAAACAAAAAAAGATACTTTCATGAATCTTTCCTAACTCAGATCCATAAGGACTTTAACTGGAATTATTTACCTGCAGAGGGGCACTGCAGGTGGAATTTTAGTTGGTCTAAATAGTAAAAAGTTTGAGGCCT